AACAAGTCACTGGAATGCATGCTGGATGAAAACAATAGTCGGAGCTTAAAAGCACAAGAATGCTACACTTATTCTTTACATCATTTCTTGGTTTCTTGGAAGGTCCTTCATTTCCTGTTTGTTTAAAAGTGTGGAATTTCTCCTGTTCCTCCGCTCAAGTGTGACCCTACCACCCGGAGGGGGGTGGGAGATAAAGCAACGAACCATAAGAGTAACAAATGGATGAGGTAGACTGTAATTTAAGGCAAAGTAATAATAATGATCACCGCCACATGCAAACAAATGCAAAGCAGTTTTGGATTAATTACAATGAAGGGAAAAGGGAGAATGAATATTAACATATTGCTGACTTACAGCTTTATCAAAACCATTTTGATCATTCTGGGTTTTTAAATGAAGATCACAGTTGCCAATATCACACGTGAACATACACACGGCACCTCACAGGTGTATGGGAAGAGACGGACGTCAGCAACGTCACAGAGAACACAGTTTCAGTGAGCTGAAAGGGCTCATCGCCGCAGAGTGAATAATTGCACAGTAACCTCAACAGAATCCCTTTGTGTTTCTCGTGTAGCTTGCCAGGATAGGCCCCTGCTGCCCCATGGCCGGAGCTGAAGGACGTGGTTAGGAAATGGATGGATCCTACAGGTGGCACTATTGGACCGGAAAAATGACAGTACCTGAAGAAACCTCTGTCTTTGAAAACAAATGTTGTTAGGTAGATTTCATGTATATGTCATTACATATACCTAGTATATGTAATATATATATATAATATTTGGTGACAAATTAGCTTTATTTTTGATAGTGTGAAACATTTGGCATATCAAACTATTCCTGTCAAGCAGAAATGTGAAAATAATAAAAATAAGTACATTTCAATATTATATAAGAGTAGTCGACAGTAGTGATTTTGGGGGAATTTTTCTGGCTGTAATTCATACATGTCGTTAAACACTGTTACAGATGCATTAAGATATTGTCCCTTTCCTACAAGATTTTAAACAGTCAAGGACATTGGTCAAGGACTGAAAGATTGTTGCACAAAGAAGTGCCCTTTCGTGTTAATACAGTATAATCTTGTGACACTGGAAATGTGTTATTTTTAGCTAAACTGTGTGAGGTTAGTTCGGGGAGGGGGAGGTGCCTGCAATTAGAAGGCTCATAGCAGACAGCAGACAGCCTGTGTTATACTCCACAACAGTGATAACAAGTCGAGGTGTGGAAGTCATTCACATACAGTCACACATGTGGTTATTTCTGCTTGGCAGGCCTGAACAGATCTGAGATGCACAGGTATCAGCTCTGCTGAACTGGGTAAATGAACCGTAATGCATTTTACATTTAAAAAAAAATCCCGCTATGCCAGAAACAAGCTCCATTTTCAATTCTGTTCACACTTTGGGGATTTGCCACTTCCTGTGGTAGCGATTTACTGCCCAGAGTCTGCTTCAGTGTTGCTGGAGCTGTGAAGACACATTTCCTTTCATTAGGAACATATAATCAGGCATAGCAGCCACAACATTTAAGATTTTGTTTTAGGAAATTGTTAAATAGAAGTCCTAATTTTACGGGATTGAATTAGACCATACAGATCCAGCCTTGGATTTATCAGATACTGTACAGTAAATTTTAGATGTCAAACCAGAGAGAGGTCCTTCAGTACAATACAGTAAAACTAAATCTATGTCCAGAAGGTTTGATACAACAGATGCTTTTCATTTTTTTCTGTAACCGAGAGGCAATTATAGAAGGCCCTAGAACAATTTCACAATGTGCGCCTGAGACATGGCAGGTAGAGTTGCTATGGGAGCATGTATGATTGAAACAGAAAAATTACATACTGCCAAACAGCTGTGAGCAGTGAGGATACGTGCCAGAGCTCTCCTGTAGCCATGCACACAAGGAGATTACATTACATGGGTACACACGGTGTTCACTTCAGAGCCTGCTACAGTTTCACTCCAATAACTACCACTGTCTTGAGAAGCATCCCAGGCACACTTTCCTGGTTTGGAAACAGGTGATCTAGTGATGCAGAATGAAAGCCATTAATTTGTCATTTGATTAGGACCCCTCACCTTTGTAAAATGGAAGTTCGATATTGACCCCCCACCTAAAGGCATTATTGATGAATGTTGGGGATATCAGCTATGCATTCAGAGATCTGTTTATTTAGGGTAAATGAATGCAACAATTTGGGGAATCAGACTGAAGAGCTCCTTAAACAGAAAAACATGACTAATGTATCAAAGTCCTTTTGAATTAGTACAGCTTGTTTCAACACAATTGAGTCTTTGTTGTGGATCTGCTGTTCCGTTAACTGTGTTCTTTACTAAACATTCTTAATTTGGTCTACGCAGGTTTGTATCTTATTGTTAAAACTAAGGTAATAATTCTCATTCAGATTTTCATCAAAATGTTTAAGGTTAATGTTACAAGTAAACGCAGATTAAATTTAACATCATCAACCATAGTCCAGATTAAGTAATGCAGACTTTAACTCATACTCATTCTCAGGCTTAATGAGTGGCTGTACTAAAGGGAATGGATGCCACATGAACAAATGCCTGTAACAACTCAGCTAGGACCCAAAAAGCATCTTTTACCACAGATTCCATGGTAACAGAAGTGGACAGATTAAAATAATAATGTCAAAGCAAATAACATAATAGGCCGCAATCAACTCCCCAGGAACCAACAGCCTCTCTTACAAATTATCACCATAACAACAGCTGCTTTCGCTGCCTAATCTGTACATACACTTATTTTCCTCAGTTTTTGGCTTTTGTACAGCAAAAGCTTTTCTATAGCTTGCTAAAACTAACTTTTACATATGTATGTCAAAGAACATGAGATTGATTTCACGTGGAAATGTACAAAATAAAAAATATGTTCCAGCTGTGAAGTCTTCTTCTACTTCTTTTTTTATTAAAGACATTTCTGTGGAGACACAACGCGAGGACTGACACCTTTACAAAGCAACAGATTTAATAGATTTCTGTATGTTAATAAATTTGTCAGTTCTCAGTTCTGACAGAAAATAACTCAAAACCAACATTCCATCAGGTGTTTATAAATAAGTTAACACAGGCAGACTTAAAAAAACCGACTTGATGTAACTGAAAAAAGTCAGACAGACTTATGTCTGGTCACCTAACTTGCGAGTAGTAGAATCCAGCACAGTAGCCACCACTCGGTCAAGTTCTTTCCCTTTCTTCCAGGTCTTGATCTTGTAGCTATTTCTAGTATGCTTAATGTTTCACAATTCCTTTTCTGCTTCCTTTTCATTCTCCATGCTGGGTTTATTGCTCCTGTACATATTCTCTGTTCGGGCAGCCTTGACAGTAGTTCAGTGTAGCTGTGACGCTGGTTTACCAGCTACTGGACAGAACAGCTGAATTATGGCCTCAGTCTGTCCCATGGGGGGTGTTGCTCAGCCCCTTTTTAACCACTTCATCTTAAAATGACTTCCTGAACTACTGACAACACGCCGGTACTGTATATAAAAATGTAACATTCAGACACTACCACCTCCTCAGCCTGTAAATGCTGTTTACCATTCTGAGCTCAGTGGTTGCTTTTAGACTCAGCTTAAAAGAGCAAATAAAAGGTGCTAAAATTCCAATGTTGCTTGACTGGTTTTAATAGGAAAGTGCAGTAAAAGTTTCTCGTAAGTAGATTGTAATTAATTATTTCTAACAGTAATTACCCTTGATTAATTGATTTGTATTGAATTAAGAATTAATGAGAATGCATTTGTGTCCCATCATCTGTTTTGTTAAACTTTAGCAACAATTTGCAGAGCAGCAATAAACATGTAGCCTGGTAATTGAATTCTTTTTAAGACTTTTATCTTGAATTGTAACCCCATAATCATCATATCATGTCTCAGAAGTGCAAAATAAATATCTCTCCATCTCTGTGCATTACAGTAATTATTAACTGTTTGCATCTGGTAGGAAAGGTTCGGAACATCTCTGTGGTTTTAATTTCACAATTCATCCTAGAATGGTCTATAAATAATCTTACAGGAGTGGGTGAAACATTAGCACCCGTATTCTTAGCTCAGCAACACCCCACCTAACCTCCAGGACAAATGAAATAGCATGTACATAGCAAGGTGCATATGTAGTTGGAATTTCTAATCTGTAAATTAGATATTACAAAAATTTCTAAAGGTCTATTAGGAAGGAATGGCCCATGTGGAAGTCTGTAAAGTGAACAAATAAAATGCAAAGCCGAAATTTCTCTTTTTTTATTGTTTTTTAACTTTGCATGTAGCTATTTCTAGTAGTTAACCTCCCAAAATTGTGCACACTTGCTCTTACAAATTAGAAATTGACAAGTGTCTAATGGTTCCATGATCTGTAGGTAAGGAAGTACAGAACCTAGTAAGTCAACTCTCTATAAAACAGAATAACATAACAAAACAGACCATCTTCTTGAAGTCCATGAATGCATCTTATTTATGCCCAGAAACCACGACATAGTATGTACCCAACATTTCGGTACTTACAGTCTTCAGCTCAAGGAACTGCAATTAGATCTGTGGTGACGTCTGTCAGTGCATTCATTCTCTTCTATAACACATCGTCTTCAAAGATTCTCATGGCATTGCAGTGCATACTTAATACACTTTATTATCACAGCCATTCAAATGGGTTGCTCCTTTAGCAAGGTACACTTGGTTTTCATATGTAACAGTATCAATCATATTGACAGAAATCTGCAGACAAACGCGAACATCCATCTGCTTATAGTCCAGCACAGGGTCGTGGTGTCTCAGAGCCCAATCAAGCAGTCAGTATGTGCATGTGCAAAGCAGGATTATTTAAAGGTGCCAATTAGCCCAGGCAGCATGTCTTTGGGCTGTGGGAAGAAAATCCACATGGGCAGTAAATTTCCCTAAATTTGAAGAAATTATAATTTCAGTCAAAAACTGCGTTAATTTACCTTATTTACTAGAAAAGCCCACTAGATGATGTCTGAAAGAATTCCTTCATACACTCTTATGCAGCTATAAACTAGCAAGTCACTGTTTCCTTAAAATAAACAAAATCTTCTTTGGTTGCTGTAATTCAGTACTTATATTTATACCAAATTCTTTACTTCATCCTTCTGTGCATGTTGTGTAAGTGCAATGCGTGTAAATGCAATTGAATACAGATTATAAAGAGCATCAAACCTGCAGTAAAATCACTGTAAATGGGACTGCAGGAGTGGCAGTTTTTTTCTGCAGATGTGATAGATGCTATGTGAAAACCTATAATATAGGATGCTATAGAACACGCTATATAATGAGTGTTACTTACACCACACTAATACAGTACAGATTTGCAAAATAACATTCTTCAGCTTTCAACATTACACTAAAAAATCTGGTGTCTTCTGTTCTTTGAGTTTTTGTGTGTTTTGCTGTATTGATAGTCTCTTCTAAAGAGTTATTGTAAGTAAAATCAGCTCCTAAATGAAGCCCATATATTGAACAAATGTACATAATATTGCAGCACTAATTAATTGCTAAGATGCTGTGGAGTTGTAAACGCTGTTTAGAGGTTCCAAACCATTTTACTCCATTTCGTGAGTCTAAAGCAGAACCTTGGTCAGGCTTAACTCAGAAAATGTTTATGGTTCTTGAAAGAGGCTAAGAGACCTGTTGGATACAGTTTTAAAATGGCTTGCTAAGGAAAATATGTTTTTTCTGTGATCTCCAAATGAAATTGTTTAAACAAGCGTGTTTAATTGACGATGACGATAAATATTTCATTCCAAAAATATAGTCAGAAATTGGCTTAATGTATCGTGTTGTTTAATGCACTCCAATTAATTGAATTATAGTTTTAGTGATGCTTTAGTCACAAAGATTCAAACAGAAATGGCCAACTCAATTATCCCTTCTTGATACTTCTGCACCTATGAAGCTGAACTTTAGTCTCCTACCTCCAGCCAAAGGAAATTGTATTCAGATGATTTACAGTGCAAATGTAAAAGTTCCCAGAGTGTGATAACTCAGTTTGTTGTTACTATTTTGTATTGCAATAGAATGGTGTTATGGAGGCCTTCGCTGTGGTCCCAAGCAATTTAGCAAGGAAAACAGGCCTGAACTACGTCTCTCAGATGTGTAAATGTTTCATGGTTCAGTAAAAGTGGATTATTCTGCAACACTCTTGCCTTAGTCATACTATCACTAAATCAGTAAATTGAAGCCTCAGACAATTGTCAAGACATCTAATAAACAAGCAAGCAGTCAGTATGTCTTCAGTTATTTCATTAATGCTTGCACCCATTTAGATCTTTTATAAACAATTTCAGAACCTAATCTGTATCCAAAACTACTGAAATGCTGAAACACTGTGCCAAATGACTGTCAAGTCAATACAAAATAATCAACACATATGTATTATATTTTTTTTGAGTAAAGAAAAATTGATTAAACGTGCCTGTGTTTTGAATTATTAAAAGTTCCTTAATTAACCCAGTTTGCTTTATTGCAAAAAAAATGAGTGAAATAAACAATTTGTGTCACAGAGTCTGAAGATGATGTCAAGAAGGGAACAGTATTAACCTTTAACTTAGTGGTAAGAAGGATTATAAGTTCAAAAAATTGCTTTTCTTAAGAGGAATACTACAAACAATTTAATCGTATCCTGTGGAATTTATTAATGAAATTTGGTGTCTTTAATGACAGCAGCTTTTATCTGGTTTCCTGAATTGCTGTAGTTCAAGGAGAACAGCAGTACTATATATGTGAAAGAGCATCACACAAGTATAATATTTCAGGGCAGATTCTTCACAGTGACCTTAAAATTGCTTTGTTCGCCGTTCTTGTGTTTCTTTTAAACTGTTATCATCCTGACATCTATAAGTGCTGGAAGGACCCCAGGCATGAAATCTAAAGCTAATTTCATTATCCATGTGTGGCTCATATCCTTTAAATATATTAGTTGTTCCATTTGTCTGAACTACAAACTTACATGTTGTAGAATATCAGTAGGATGCATTATCGGCAGCGAAAACACAGCCTTACTGATCTATCTCCTGTGTGTTTGTGAATGTGAATGTGTGGAAAAAGCTTCTCGAATTATTAACAGACGACCTGCTGCAAGGTTTCAGTTTGTCACAGATTGCTCAGAATGCACCTTAACAACATGTTTGAAGTTCTCACTTGGGAAGGAAAAACAGAGCTTCTTTTGGCCGGGGATGACAGGTTTTCTCTGACTGCACACAATCACAGAGGTCAAGGAGAAGCTGAGGAACGGGAGAAAGTGGAGTCTGTTTCTGTGGAGCAAGCTGTGACGGAGGAACAGATGAACCAGCAAACGGAACTCGGTTCCTCTCCAGGTGCCGGCTTTTTCCCAGGAAGCTCTTAGCTGAAACTGATCCGCCTGGGAAAAAAACTATGGGATAAAACAAATCTGGCTCCATCATACATCTCTGAACTCCTCTGTGTTTACAGTCCGTTCCGTTGGCTCCGGTCAGTTGAGGCAGGTCCTCTGCTGACTGTACCCAGGACCAAATCTCAGACTTTTCTGTCTCTGCTCCTTTGTTATGAAACGCTCTTCCTCTGACTCTTTGACTCTTTTTAAGTCTAAACTTGTAAGAGTATAAAACTCATCTTTTTACTCGGGGCTATATCTGATTTTATTTGGTGTTTCATATTTTTTTCATTTTCATGTACAGTGTCCTTGACTTTAGAAAGATTATTATTATTGGTAATAATGCAAGCCCCTGACTAATAGCGTACTAATATAGAGTATGGTTTTCCATGTAAAACTGCTGCATGGGTTTACACATCTGCTTCTTAATTTTGTACTTAGTAACAAAAACAATATGATGTTCTGCATTATTTCAGTAGTCAGAGTAATATATGGAGTTTTGAAGTGACTCATAGGAGGTGGACAAAGCACACTGTTTTTGGAAGACAGATTGCTCTCTCTCATCTAAACTTAAAAAAACTCCTTAACTTTCTCATAAACAAAATAAGAAATATTGAATTTAACAAACTATTGTCTCATCTAATCCAATACTTTTCAAAGTGACTGATCCAGGATTTATAACAGGGAGTTAGTGACTTTACCTTAACTTTCTTGAGGGTTTGCCAGAACAATTCTTGTAGTTTGATAAGAAATGTTATCATGTGGGAAATGTTGCAGACGATTCTGAGCTTTATAGAATTACCAGCAGCAGTCAATATCCAATCATTGTGGATTATGAGAGTAAGTAAAAGGACCTGTGGCAGTAGGTGACTACATTAGCATAAAGCAGTCAATATCAATCTGAAAAGACTGCAAAGCAAGGAGAACGCAAGTTTGTTATGATCAGTTATTTTATCTTCCTGTTGTCCGTTTTTACAAAGGCCAAAAAGAAAATATAAAATGAAAAGCTAGACTATAAATGCATAGGAATGCCCCATAGTATGGATGTATTATGTGTGCCTATTATTGGAAATTTTCCTTATAGATTACCTGGTCATGGTATTATTGTCTGGATTATAATAATGCACTATTTACTTGGAATAACAATACGTGGTTATTAAACACACAAAAAAGGTTTATGGAGTGCTTTAGTCCCAGTAAAATGTGGCTGAACCCTCTTACCTGAGGGCTGACCTCCTGGCCAGAGGACGAGGAGGCTGGGACCCCCTGCAGAGTGAGGGGTAACCCAGGGGCAGCCCAGGAGGGGGAGATGGACTGAAGGAGGGATGAAGGATATATACGAGAGGGAGATAATAATAATTGCTTACACATATAAAGCACTCTTATACTGGGGCATTAGGACCCACACAGACCACAGGGTGAGCGCCCCCTGCTGGCCCCACTAACACCTCTTCCAGCAGAAACCTCTTCCAGCACGTCCAGTTTTTTGTGTTTTGAGTGAGGAAACAACTACAGGAGTGATTGCGAATCACAGTCAGCCGAGACATCTCTCACCAGCTTTCATTGTAAACTCCATTTAGTCAACGGTTAAAGAATGAAATAACGTTCTGTAGGAAGCAAAAATATTTAAATTTTTCCATTTGTCTTCCCCTTTGCAGCAGCGACCAATTAGAAACGGCGAATTCTGTGTTCAGAATTTCAGCCCATGCTTGCAGAGGATCCAGAAACCCCACTGAAGGACCCACTCTTCCTCCCTTCAGGATTACTAACCCCAGAAATGAAGATATAACACCAAGGGGTAATTACTGTATCCATAACCCAGGGAGCAGATGTATTCCGTGAAACTTAAAAGCTATCAAGAAAGCTTTGGGCTTTTCATTTTCTGGTCTATGAGCTCTCAACATAAGTATCCAATAGTTAATCTAAACCCTTTTCGAAACCCATCCCAGGAAACTGACCTCCTGTCACAGACGGACTCGCTGAGTGCAGCTGGTTCAGTCAGACTTTAGTCACTTGAAAGGTACTTTGTGTATAATATACTATTCTCTGGGCCCATATAAATCTCTATTCTATAGAGGTCTGCCGAGAGAAAATTATAGCTGAGCCGCCAGAAAGTGTATTTGGCTGAGGAGACCTGACCTTAATAACAATGAGTGCAGAGAAACATGGGGGGGGTGGGGAGAGAGAGGCGAAACAAAAGAAAAAGAAATTCAAAGGAAGAATGTGGAGACAATTGATTTTCATTGGAGCTGAGGAAGGCTCCAGATTATCTACGCGCAGGCTGAGGCAGGCCGCACAATGGAAGGCGCTGATGCAAATACCTGCATCTTTTGTTCTTCGGGACAGCAGCATTGGGAGCACAAGGAAAGCTCTTTTGTGTATTTAAACAGGGCTACAGGAAATCAATACTCCGGCTCACTTTCTCTGGCTGTTATTCTCCTCCTTTTATTTTTTATTTCTAAGGGGGTACAGTCGTGGATTCTGGAGTCAGAGAGGGGCATTGGACGTACCTCTTTAAAGTGTTGAGATATAGATATTTTTGCTTTAATGTTCAAATTACACTCCTTTTATGCCAAGCCATAAAGGTTTCAGAGCCTCGTGCCTCCATTGATCTGGATCTTGAACACTCTCTCTGTTTAAAAAACATAATTCTTTAGCAGTATGAAAGTGTGAAAGATTGGGGATGGTTCCTGTATTACTTCAAATACTAAAATTTCAGCATCCATCATGACCTCTTCTGATTATAAAGCATAAACAAGAAGCCAAGTAAAGCAAAATGAAACGTTTCAACCTGTAGTAGTAGACCAAAGGAAAATAAAAGCTAAAATTACAGATTAAAAGTCAGATCTAGACTCTAGTTTGAAGATAGATAATCCATATAGCACTGCAGCAGAATACCCAGAGAGACCACATTAACAGGAAATAATTTTGTAAGCACTATCTTAGGAAAAAAGTATTTATTAGACACTCATACAACTACAAAACACAGACACACGAAAACTACAAATATTTCTAACAGGAGATAAGTTCTCAGAGTCCAAACACTGCCTTCTGACTTCTTTCACTAGATCCTAACCTTGGCACAAAAGTTTGAAATATTCCTAAACTGTAGACATAAAACTCTATAATGATAAAGAGGACTGCTTCCAGAAAACCAAACAGTTCTCCACAAGAGAGCCAACTTCCTAGATTACACAAGACACACCCTTCCACCCCTAACAAAAATATATCCCAATAAAAGAAGAGACACTAACTCAGCTTGGCACTCGTTCCACTAATATGAAATGGAGCTCCCTTCAGTTCTCAACTGGGTGGGTGCATCTAATCAAAGAGAAATGAGTGAAGCCAGGTCCTCCACTGTTCCTCACTCACTGGCCTCCTGGTCTTCAGGTGTGGTCTCTAATGCACACTTCTCTGTCATCTCTTACCCAAGTATCCCGCTGAGTCCCTTCTGGTCATTACTGAGAGGTTTCTGGAAATGTCCCCAGTGACCCCACATGCGGTTTCCATAACTGGGTAGATAAAGCGCCAGGTGATCAAACAGCAACAGCTTCACTCATCAAGATCCCAGATGTGCTGACTTCCTCACATAAAGACTAGTCACTACAGGCCCTTCTTTAAACAGCAACAACAATCATACCTGTGAGTACTTTCAAATATCCCTTGCACTCTATGGTGTATTATTAATTTTACTTGAGGTCATACAAAAACAATTATTGAGGAGTTATTTTTAAATTAACCAATTTTCAATTGGTAACACTGATGAGTATTTGCACAGTCCAGTCTCATTAGTAGCTGGTATACAGCAGAAACTGGTCAGTGTTAGATTTTTTTCCTGGTCATTAAAAAATCAGTGTCATTATAACAAATAGATGGCACATTGATTTCTTCCAGATCAGGGCTACTTAAGCTTTGTTTAAACACCCTGGCATAAGTCTCACTAGCAATCATGGTGGCAGATATAATGTGTTTAGCATGTAAGTTTTTGAGTACGTTGTCATGTGCAATTCTGTGTAAGTCCAAAATGTAACTACACCTTGCAATACAAAGCTGGTTATAGCCTGGAAAAAATTCAAGAATCCCATAATAACCTAGTATGCAGCTCACAGATAAATGCAAAGGGAAAAGGCAAGACTATACAGGCGTGTCAATCAGCAGCATTTTGCATAATACTAAGACAGGAATAACAGTTCAGGAATATTTCAAACCTGGAGAATTGGGAATAACAGGACCAAAGAGATCAAAGGAGCTCTTTGTCAGAACACTAGAGGGAGCTTTCCACTAAGGGAATAGGCACCGATTTTCCTCCACCATTCCAGAATTCCGCATTTTAATTTGACTGCAGCAATTATTGGTAATGGCAGTGATTATAAAAATGACACAGCAAATGCAATTTTGTTCCAATTTGCAAAGCTAATTTTCTCTCATTATCTCTAAAAATGAGAGCCCTGAAAGTGAAATCCACAAAGCCAGTGCATGCAATTTTTCTTCCTGTCTCAGTAATACATCGTGCCTTTTTGGAAGTATGGATTACCCCCCGAAAAATCCACAATTAGTTGCTCATCAGTTTAACAGCTTTTGTGAAAACACTGAAAGAATACTGAGTGGAAACCTCCTGAGTACTTCTCTCACACTCAATACAACATAGTTTTTCATATGCTAATTCACCCAGTTGGCACACATGGCATAAGAGCATTGCTGGTTTGATCTAAAATGATTTCTGTCTTGGGGGACACAGTCGACATTATACAACTGGGACACATGGGGAAGAAACGCTCTGAGCACACAAGTCCTTGATTTCCTTGTTAAACAGTGGCAGATCTCCACAGCCCCCTTTATAGTTATGTGTTTCCCTACAAAATGATTTACAGAAACAACACAAATAATAGTAAAGAAACAGCAGCACAAATAAATCTGCACTGCAACGCTTTTACAAGCTGTACTGGGACAGATGCACTGAAGAGCCTGAAACGGAAAGAGCTGCGAGCAGGAGGTAAGATTAATATTATTATGTCATGTCATTCGCCAAACCGCGTTATACCATACGGTGTGATGGGATGCCAGAGCCTACCCAGCAAGCAATGAGCGCAAGGCAGGGTTCACCCTGGACAGGGCGCCAGTCCATCGCAGGGCAAGTGGAAGACAATCACACATGGGGACAGTTTGGAGGCCACGGTAAAGGCCGAGGGGGGAAACCGGGATAACTCCCTACTCTTATCAAGAAATGCCCGGGGATCTTTAATGACCACTGAGAGCCAGGGCCTCGGCTTAACGTCTCATCTGAAAGACAGCGCCCACTACAGTAGAGTGTCTCTGCCACTAGACTGGGGCATTAGGACCCACAGAGACCGCAGGTTTGGCAATCCCCACTGGTCCCACTAACACCACTTCCAGCAGCAACCATAGCTTTCCAGGAGGTCTCCCATCCAGGTGCTGACTAGGCTCACACTGCTGAGCTTCAGTGGGTATCCAGTTGAGAGCTGCAGGGTGATATGGCTGTCGGCATTATCATAATGATTATCATTAATAGTGGTAATAATAATTTGCATTTATAAAGTCCTTTACATGAGACCCACCTCATCCAGTAGTGAAGTGCAGCGGAACCCACCTGGGTGATGATCAACTTCCTCCTGGCAAAGTGCAGGAAGGGAAGAAGACAGAAGACAGGGGCTGGGACTGGAAGCTGCGGTGCTGAAGTAACTTACTGAAGCAATCATAAAGAAAAGTAAAGGAAGTCCTACTGCTCATAGAGACTACTTATGCCACATAGGTGTACTATTAGAATGGTAATTGTACATGACTGGATTACTGAACTCACGATAGCTACAAAAAATGATCTTTGCTTAAAGGATAGTATATGAAGATGAGTTGAAGAGGAGTTTTATTTGCGTTTGTTTCCATTGATCTCAAAATTTGGCTGCAGTCTCACCAGGAGTGTTATGACACCTACAGTAATAGAAAGCGTGGCTCTTTTATACCTGGTGCTGCAGCGTGGAGGAGACCTGTGGCCCTGTAATTTTCTTGATGATTGTCTAACATTGCAGTGCGGGGCCGAGGGAGGCTTGGATGAGTGTACATCGCACTGCTCTGTACCCCAGAGGAGTTAGTCTGTTCTTCTGTGCTCTCTAACATGAGCATCAGGGTAACAATGGGCATATTACAGACATTTCTCTTCTCATGGTAAAAAGAAGTTTAAGAAGTTAGTCTTTGAAGAATTGTGTGTATGTCAGCATCACAAAGACAATATAAAGCCATTTTGAGCTTTGGACATTATATGCATTTCTATTTCAAGAAAAAGAGAAATAAAAATTATGAGCAAAGAGTAGTGAGAAATATAGTCAATATCGCACAACAATTATACAGATAAACAAACCTGTTGCTTGATTTAGCAGGTCCTCCAGACCACAATAAGACACACATAATATACCAATAGAGAAATAACATCACCAAACCAAGGGTGAAAATAGGTCACTCTTAAAGGAAGTACTATCATAAAATTGTAACAGGATACTTGAGTAGTATAATAAAAAGAGACATTGTCCTTCAAGATAAACACTGGAGTAAAAGCAGCCTGCTTCACAACAGAGGAAATGCTTTAATCTCTCCACACAGTCTTGATGACTCACATTTTGCAGAACTGAATTGTGTTATTGTTAACAACAACAATAACAACAACAATTTCACACATAAATGTAAGGGAGGCTTGATTCCGGCTGTGTGCTTCTGATTTGCGACTATCCTGTGATTGTGGATGGTACAGAGCAAAGCTGCTTCCCTGTGTTCATTAACAGGAGAGAGAAAGGCAAAGCCTGAGCAGCTAGAAAGAGTAGATAAA